TACGATTGAGAATTTCATTGTTGCTGTTGTTAGCCCGTTAGAGTATATCCGCGTCCAGCAAAGTTGAGACCTTTAGAAAGCTTGGCAGTCAAGCCGTGCACAGAACTGACTAATTAAATCTTTGTTTGCTGTTCGGTTAAATAGAGAAACTGACTCTTAATTATATAAAAGTACCTTGAATTTTTAAGTTTAATTAAAAAGCAAAATGCACACTCAGCGGATATGTTCATGAGAATATAAATTTTTTGTGTAACGAAATCTACAACACTTGTCAATCATATTGCATGTTGTGTTTAAAAATAACATGTGGGCGTCCCACGGTCTAGACAGGTTTTGTGTCAGGCCCTATTTCAAATTAGGGCCTGAACTTCAGGTTAACCGAGGCTTGAACCTGCGACCTCAGAGGTGGAAGGCAAGTGCGATAATCACTTCGCCACCGAAGCCCCGTAAGTATATGCCACTATATGCCAACTGGACTCTGTAACTCAGTAGACCGCTGGACCGGAATCGCAGGGCCGGAGGTTCGATTCCTGTCAGAGGACCTATATAGTGAAGCCGGTTTTCCACTTCAAGCGTACCGTACCGAAACGTATCAAAAACGTTTTTAAATTTCACAATTTCGTGACTGTTGATTCGTTTGTACTTCCGCGGTACGCCAAAAAGTTGGGCTTGCGACGAACTTTTTTATTTTGATACGCGAATACACCCGGAAGTACGTGGATTTATAAACTTTTTTTTCAATCTGCGCATGCTCACCAGTACGTTTCGGTACGATACGGGCTCTAATAAATGTATATGATCTTCTGCTCGAGATTTCCATCATTTCATAAAAAAGCCTCCAATTTTTAGTTATATCGAGTATGATACCCCAAAATGTCGATATTTATTAATAATTACGTCATGTTTTTACTTTTCCACCTTGGAAATTAGGCTTTATAGGTATCGTACGTTCCGGTATCGAAAGCTCCGGGCATACGCATCGAAAGTTGTCGGAAATAAAAGTGTTATAAATCATGTTTTAAGTTTCTGTTAATGTTAGATTGTTGGTCGACTTATAGTTGGCTTTGGAACGTCGCTTTCAGCCATCACAGAATGCATTTATATTGCAGAAATTGTGTATTATGTCATGCTTTAGGTTATTTTAACGTTGATGAGGGGAGGGTGAGACGCACCACCTGATTAAGGGGAATGAACCTGTTAGAGTTGCAATCTCGAACCCAGAGCATGCCCGTTCGCAGGTTGGGACGGGAATAGCGCTGCCCTTTACTGCCTAGTTAAGCCTGCTAGTGTAGGTCGAGGAAAGGTATACGATCGCTCATATACCCACATTTTATAGGTCATAAATGCTCACAAACCATAAGTGAAATAACTCACCAGTAAACTGTACAAGTATACCAGTATGTGTAGATGTTTGAATATATGTGCATAGCTAACATCACTTTCATACGTGGCCAGATTTTGTGGAGAGGTGCTCACCTCCCTGAGGTTTTTTTCAGCATGTCCCCTGAAAAGTCAATCATGCACTTCCCCTTAGGGGAAAGGTCCATTCATCTCCGTATAACCTATTCATGCAATCTTTTGAAAGACATTTTGTAGTAATGTAATGAAGGACAAAATTGGGTGTGTCGTACAGTCATAATTCATAAATACACTGATACATATGTACAGCAGCCTCGTACCTACTACAGTGTTTTTATATAGATCAGTGGCTAAGATGAGCGAGCGCGCGGGGGTGCTTGGGAAGGACACGACGAGGTTCCACATAAAAACACTGTAGTGTTGCTATTTTTAGTACTTATTTGCGCCTGGGTACGAGGCTGTATGTACAGTATACATGCATACGTCACGCAGTTGACTTTAGGGGGGGGGGGGGTGTACCTTAAATTGCATAGGAGCTTTCCCCACCATTTCCAGCAAAACCTAGCCTTGCTTCCATATAATACTTGCACAATATAATGTTGTTTTTATTTACCTGTTTCATACAGATATAAAATAATACATGTCCGCTTTTTATAGAAGACATCTTAACTTTGAGACGGAGTTTGTAAACTGATGTAAAATATTTCTACAACCTTCTAAATATAATATCATGTGATGGAATATTTTATTTCAGCGAACCATATACCGTTAAGGCGACATGCTGTTATTTTTCTGACCCGATACAACAAAAGTCGATAATATGCCGTCGTTTGTGTGTGAACTACCCGACAACGACCAGAAGCACTTCGTCGTCTTAAGCAAAGGCCATTCCTTAGGAGAGTAGAGGCTCCAAGCTTTAGCTCGAATCCTCGAAATGTCTTCAATCTTTTTCTGGTAGTTCACACACAAACCGTGGGAGGTTATTATATAACACCACCCACACTAGACACCCACGTTTGAGATAGCGACAAAACAATCATATGACGTCAGCATTGTGTGAAATTTTGTACAAATCACTTAACTATATACATATGTAAAACCAGTTTAATGTAGAAACATTAAACCTCATTAAAACTATATAGGGAGAAACAAGTTACTGAACAATTTACTAGAAGAGATCTCTCCGTACTGATTTCATATCCTAATGTTTGATTTCTGATATAGGTATAAATTTGTATATTTATTGGCCTTTGTTAATTTGGTGTAAGGGTAATGGTTGGCATTATTAATTAAATTATATAGAGACATTTATAGTATGCCTGTGATTTTTCGTGTTAATGATTTTGGGTTTTTTTCTCTTAAATCACCCTAACATGTAACATAAATTGTGCTTCTTTAAATATGACTTTTTTCTTAAATTGCTTTAATTTGGTTTAAATCATACACATCACTTAAAAATCTCTTTAAATCGCATGACTTCAAAAGCGATTTAAGGTCCCAGAGCAGGCCTTTAGAGGGAAATGATTGTCATTAAGAACATATAACTGCTGTCTTTTTAAAGACAAATTTCACCCCACCAATATTTTAATTACTCTGGAACCGTATATTTTTTGAAATCATGAAATACCGGACGTCGAGTGGCGATTCTATTATGGATATACTTATTGCGTGAAATTTCGTAGCATTACATATTTTGTATTGCAAGCATCATATTGTTTTTTCCTATATCACTCCAATATAAATTAGGAAAAAATGTTTTGGGTATTCTATTCAGTACTAAGGATTTGACCATCATTGAAAGATGTGCCGACATAATTCCGGGCTTTTTTAGTCGATGATTATCATCCTATTTGTATGATTTTGTTTGTTTTTTTAATCTAATTTGTATCATATTCTGTATCTTAGCATGTGTATATATCGTAGGGCTTTCTCAAACACTGGGAAAAAAAGTGAAATCCATGCTACGAAATTTGCAATTGCACCACAAAATCCATAGTATATCCATACTATTTCCATACTATATCCATACTATGGAAATATACAATTATTATGGATAACCAAAATCCATTCTATTTCCAATAAAGGTCCATACAATTTCCATTCTATGATCCTCCATGGATTTTCAATTTCTGATTAGTTCCATCTGAGTGCTTGTAAGACAAAAGAAAATTTCGATTCGGTCGAAAAATTTCGCCTAGTGAAAAGCGCCTTTAAGGAATAGACACTGATTCCCCACTGTATTTTGTAGGAAAAAGGTATTTACAGAAAAACTTGGGGCGTGTTCCCCATATCCCCCCGCTCGGTCTCTTCTCCACAATTCAAAGATTCATTTTTATTGCATATTTTAAACATTCTATAGTTCATAAGTGTTCACAAACCATAAATCCAATAACTCACCAGTAAACTGTACAAGTATGTGTAGATGTTTGAATATATGTGCATAGCTAACATCACTTTCACATGTGACCGGAGTTTACGAGGAGGAGCGAACCTCTCCTAAGATAATTTTGTATCGCCCCTGAAAAGTCAATCATGCCCCTTTTTGAGGAAAGTTCCATTCATCTCTGCCCAAGTATACCATATCCATGCAATGTTTTGAAAGACATTTTGTAGTATTGTAATGAAGCTAGGCAAAATTGAATGTGTCGTACAGTCATAATTCATAAATACACTGATACATATGTACAGTATACATGCATACGTCACATAGTTGACTTTAGGAAGAGTACTTTACCTTGCATAGGGGCTTCCCCCACCATTTCCAGGAAAACCTGGCCTTGCTTCCATATAATACTTGCACAATATATTGTTGTATTTATTTACCTGTTTCATACAGATATAAAATAATACATGTCAGCTATGACTTGCTATGACTAGTTATTTCTGTTTTAAGACAGTCAATCAGTGTTTTTTCTGTCAACAAGTCGTTCAGCATCATACTTTTATCAGACTATATTCAGCTAATGCAATTAAAGTGTATTAAACTATTATATATGTGCATCGCATAGAAAAGTGCTAATATCTGCACCCTACAGTTAAGTCATATATATACTGTACTATATATAAGTAAAGTCATCAGCAGAATACAAACGCTACAATAATCATGAATGTTTTTCGATGTTACTCTGAGTGTAGTATACCCACACCGGGCAAGTTGAAAAGTTTGCCTGACCACGGTGGGAGTCGAACCCGTGACCTTTGATCAGGCAAACGTTTCAGCCTGCCCGGTGTGGATATACACTCAGAGTAACATAAAAAAACATTATATTCACCTGAGTACATAACATCAAAAAACAGACAAAAAATAATACTCATAAATGCTTAACATGTATTATAAAAAGTGTATTATATCTGTGCATTACGTAGAAAAGTACTAATATCTGCACCCTACAGGTATGGCAGTTTGTGTTCTTGTACAGAGATGCATTCACTGGGAGGCTGCTGGGGGAGGGGGTTGGTCACCATTACCACAACAATGCCTCTGAATCCATCCAGGGGCAATGTTTCGTCCATTCTACAGAACATGGATCAATGAACACCCCCCCCCCGTACCCGCATCCTCCCTCTAGATCTGGCTGGATCCATCTCCGTTCCTGTATCCGCTGCTTCTATGCAAAATAATCTGGAAAGTTTTTATATTACTACATTTGAAACACAATGGCTTGTTTCTTGTTGACCAACAATATATGTCTGTTTGCGTGATGTGATAGAAGCTGTCGATACTCACCCACGATATTAAACCCATGCAGCAATTCACCAGTGTTTGAGAAACAGAAGATCGTAGTAGGAGCATTGGCAAGACCATTGTAAAAACTGGCCAGAATTGTTTCATTGACATGATTAAAGACTACACTCAGTACATGAAACCTTGCCTTATTATGTTCCCAATAATTTTCAACAGGTACTTGCACTTTACGTTTTAGCTTACCATCAATTGTAATGATGTACAAAACGAGTTTCTCACCAGGGTTACGAAAAGTAAAAATGATTTCATTTTTATTGGAAACAGTGAAGCTACAATCGTATACCAAGTAATGTGTATCTTTGAATAGAAAAGGAAATTTGTAGTCTTGCTTGGTGTTTGTGCTGTCGCAGATATACATAGTTCCACTGCGGCGACAGTAGATAACAATCATACCATCTTTGGTCACATTCATTTGTGGAAACAACAGCTTTTCATCAATCACGTCAAGTAATCTGTCCGCCTTGACGTTACCATCAGAATCCAAGGTTAATAATTTATATCCAGGAGGACTATTCAATGACGGAATTTCCGCGACGATATATACGTTATCATTTTTATCGACAGAGAAACAGCATATTGTCGAGGGAATGGTACAAAACAACTGGTGCTCGCCGCTTCTTCTTGTGAGTTTAAGACTCCCGTTGTTCCACACGCGTGATAAAATTTCTCCTTTGCTAGTTAGCGCACAAACATCGTTGTCAATACGTTCATCAAACTTCCAGTCACTGCACCAAGTAAGCTGCGTTATTTTCTCTTCAGATTTTCCTCGAAGCGCATGGTTTTCCAACAGTGGATGATGGAAATCTTTGCCAATCTTTATCGTTGGCCAGTTATATAAACCCATCTTGATGTTTGTAAATTTCAGGGTGAGATCTATCAATAATGCGTTGATCATTTGTATCGACTCCACATTAACATTCCTTTCCTCTTTGTAGAAGCGAGCTCGTAAGCGGGATGCAATTCCTTTATCAGAATTTCGACATACAGAAAACATCGCTTGCACTGCAGGTAAATCCTGTAGCTCTTTGAGGTAAAGTAAGCAGTCGTGGACGGCTGCTTCTGGGTCCTCTAAGCCTTCGAGGATTCTGCTGGCAATGCGAAGTTTGCTCGCCATCAATCTATCTTCAGCATTCAGCGCTACGTTATTAAATGCTTCCGTTGCCAGCTCCCTTGCTTTTTCTAAAGACTTTTTAGCCGATTTGTAGCGTTCTTCCGATGCGATTTTTAAGTTCCCAATGATTTCAGAAAGTTCAAATACGCTTTCTAAGACATCGCGTTCAGCTTGCGTGACAGGAAACTGCTCAACTCTCGTCGCTATTGCGCCTTCGACTTCAGATTCGTCTTCTAAGTGTGCTTTTGAAGTGCTGGGCTGATCACGAAATTCACCAGACGTCTCGAGAGAAATATAGAACCTGGTAACTCCTTCTTTGAAAAAGCTGAGACTGGCAAGCAGGTCCTTTCTCGACAAACCATCGAGCTTCGATTTAATATCATCGAGTTCTCGAACAACGACCTGTCTGAATTTTTCATCGTTTAAATCGCCTTCGTTGAGTCTCTCTGCAGTGTAATCTCGTAATTTACTGCACAGTAAACCGACGGTGGAATTTATTATTCCGTTTATTATAGCAGACATCTTAACTTTGAGGCGGACTTTTGTAAACTGATGTAAAATATTTCTATAGAACCTATAGCCTTCCATAAAATATTGTTTGCGTTGTAATCATGTGATGGAATTTGACACTTGCATGGTTGAACATCCTGTGACACCAGCAAATCGCCTTGACCCATAGACATTTTAATACAGTATTTAGCTATTTTCAATACGTTGATACATAGTGGAATATGTGAAGTACTTGCGTATTATAAAGACGTGTTATTCAAAAAGAATGCACGAGTAAGCACTAAAGCACTAGGCCTATATATTTTTTCACTGATATACGATAATACAAAGCGAGTGATGTCATTGTAATATTATGGCAATTAAGCCATATAAAATAAATTCCTTGATTGTCATCACTACACTTTGAAAATGTCGAAGAGGCGGGAGGTTTATATTTTATATTTTATATTTATATAATTTATATATCAATATATAAAAGTGTCACAAACTGAAATAAACATATTTCTCCACGAACAATGACTGAACCCTTGAACTGAATGCGAAGTTCCGTTAAAATGCAATGAAATTTCTTTGAAGGTTCTATTTGTTTGAAATTAGCAGTTTAAAATGGCACTAAAAACCCAATATAAAATATAGAAAACTTAACTGTCTTGAAATATTTTGTCGGGCGGTACATTTATATTGTATAACAAAATATAAAAAGATTTCACACGGCTCTTAAAATACAGTCGCGGGCGGTGATGAGAATCAAGGAATTTATTTTATGTGGCGTTATATTATAATACTTTATTAAAAAGACAGTTTTACTGCTCAACGTAATATCGATCATTTTCGCAGCTGCTCTGGTTAGATCCGAAATAAAATTGTATATACCGTAACCTTCTGCTCGAGATGCGCAAAAATTTAAATGTCGATATTTACCCATACTTTATACTGGTATCACCCACTATTTATTTATTTATTTAGCTTTGCCAACTAGGGCAGGGCCACCACAACAGCATATGCAAATTACTGTGGGCCCTTTTACCTAACCCACCCTGTCAACTTTCCCTGTGGGAGGAAACCCGAGTACCCGGAAGAAACCCACGACTTTCGGCAGAGCGTCGACTTTTTTACTCTTTTTCACATGAAGACTGGGTTCGAGTCGCATTGAGAAAGTTCTCACCGAGGCTTGAACCTGCGGCCTCAGAGGTGGAAAGCAAGTGCGCTAACCACTTCGCCACCGAAGCACCGTAAGTATATGCCACTACATGCCAACTGGACTCTGTAACTCAGTAGGGCGCTGCACCGAAATCGCAGGCCGCAGGTTCGATTCCTGTCAGAGGACCTATATAGTTAAGCCGGTTTTCCACTTCAAGCGTACCGTACCGAAACGTATCAAAAACGTTTTTAAATTTCACAATTTCGTGAATGTTGATTGGTTTGTACTTTCGTAATACGCCAAAAAGTTGACTTGCGACGAACTTTTTTATTTTGATACGCGAATACACCCGGAAGTACGTGGATTTATAAACTTTTTTTCAATCTGCGCATGCTCACCAGTACGTTTCGGTACGATACGGGCGAAGTGGAAAACCGGCTTTAGATCTAATAAATGTATATGATCTTCTGCACGAGATTTCCATCCATAAAAAACCCTCCAAGTTTTAGTTATATCGAGTATGATACCCCAAAATGTCGATATTTATTAATAATTACGTCATGTTTTTACTTTTCCACCTTGGAAATTAGGCTTTATAGGTATCGTACGTTCCGGTATCGAAAGCTCCGGGCATACGCATCGAAAGTTGTCCGAAATAAAAGTGTTATAAATCATTTTTTAAGTTTCTGTTTATGTTAGATTGTTGGTCGACTTATAGTTGGCTTTGGAACGTCGCTTTCAGCCATCACAGAATGCATTTATATTGCAGATATTGTGTATTATGTCATGCTTTAGGTTATTTTAACGTTGATGAGGGGAGGGTGAGACGCACCACCTGATTACGGTGAATGAACCTGTTAGAGTTGCAATCTCGAACGGAGAGCATGCCCGTTCGCAGGTAGGGACGGGAATAGTGCTGCCCTTTACTGCCCAGTTAAGCCTGCTAGTGAAGGTACGATCGTTCATACCCGCATTTTATAGGTCATAAATGCTCACAAACCATAAGTCAAATAACTCACCAGTAAACTGTACAAGTACTAGTATGTGTAAATGTTTGAATATATGTGCATAGCTAACATCACTTTCATACGTGGCCAGATTTTGTGAGGAGGTGCTCACTTCCCTGAGTTTTTTTTTCAGCAAGTCCCCTGAAAAGTCAATCATGCACTTCCCCTTAGGGGAAAGGTCCATTCATCTCTGTATAACCTATTCATGCAATCTTTTGAAAGACATTTTGTAGTAATGTAATGAAGAGCAAAATTGGGTGTGTCGTACAGTCATAATTCATAAAAATGCTGATACATATGTACAGTATACATGCATACATCACGCAATTGACTTTGGAGGGGGGGGGGGGTGTACCTTAAATTGCATAGGGGCTTTCCTCAGCAAAACCTGGTCTTGTTTCCATATAATACTTGCACAATATAATGTTGTTTTTATTTACCTGTTTCATACATATATAACATAATACATGTCAGCTTTTTATACAGAGGCGTAGCCAGGATTTTTGGTCAGGGGGGGCCAGACAAAACCCAGGTGGGGCCCAAAAATTTTTTTTTAATCTTCTCCCCCCCCCCCC